CCCTAATTGTTCTTTTGTACATGTTCTGAACTCTGCTGGTTCCCAGCTTGTATTGCAAGCTTGCCTTGCTCTTTTTGATATAATATACTTCTTACATTTTATCAAAAAAAAAAAAAGAAAGAGCTCTCAGTCTCAGTTAAAGAGAGAAGTTAGAGAGAGATGCTCTCCACCTTCCAGCAGCCGTTCTCTTGTGATTTCAAATTTTCGGTCACTGTTTAGCTCTTTTGCTCCACTGATTCTGGTCTTCTCGCCATTAATGGGGAACAAAAAACACAGATCGGGTCCCTCCAAGCGTCAAAAGTCTTTGGCTGCGTCCCATCTTGTGAATAATTCGGCTATTCTAGCTTTGGAAGCTCGGTCTTCAACAGTCCACCCGATTTCAAATTCAAACTCAGATCTCATCCCGCCTATGGTCTCTTCTCCTCAGAGTTCACGTTCTTCTCAGCATATTTCTTCCTCCTCTCATGATTCTGATCCTCAGCATCACGATGACTCTCCAAGCATCAAACATGTTTTTGTGACAGACTGGTTGGAAGATGAAGATGCAGATCCGGATGATGAGGCTTTGGAAACTGACTCAGTTGAGGAGGAGTATACTGGAGGATCTAAATTCTTTATTTCACCGGTGAATGCAACTCCTCTCCTCCCAGTTGCTTCAGCTTCAGTGGCTTTTCCTCCTACTGTTCCTTCTCCGGCAAGTCCTCAGGCTGTTGCCCCATCTGCCTCAAAGGATACCACGCTGCCTTCCACTTTAGCCTCCTTCCCCACAAGTGAGACTCCAGCTCTCGTTGTCCCCCCTGCATCACCTTTGGAGGGTCCTGTGACTGGAGTCATTGCAGCTCAACCCAATCCTTTGATGCCTTCTGTAAGTACAGCTCATCACAAATCTGATTCTGAGTCATCTAGTTGGCGTGATATTCTAGCTAATAATCGCAACATTACTTCCTGCCCTAAGCTTAGTCATTACTCTGCATTTACTGAAACAAATGGTTGTGATTTGGTTGGGGATGATTTAGATGTTAAATGTGATTTCTGGAGGTTATGTCTTATTGGGTATGTTGCTGGACGTTCTCCTGGCTTCAAAGCCTTGCAGAATATTATTGCTAATTCATGGAAATGTGAAGCTTCTCTAGTTAAGCATGAATCCGGTTGGTTGATCTACAAGTTTGCTTCTGATGCTGATAAATTGCGAATATTATCTGGGGGTCCCTATCTTGTTTATGGCAGGCCATTAATTCTCAAGCCAATGCCTGAATTTTTCGATTTTTCTTCCTCTGCCATGCACATGGCTCCGGTTTGGGTTAAGTTCCCCAACCTCCCTCTTCAGTGCTGGTCTCTTAAGTGTTTGTCCAAGATTGCCAGCGTCCTTGGGATACCCGTTCAGAGCGACATGCTCACCCACACTATGTCCAGGCTCTCCTATGCCAGAGTTTTGGTTGAAGTCAATTTATTATCTGACTTGCCTTACTCTATTGATATCAAATTACCGAATGGCAGCCTTCTCAAGCAGCAAGTCATCTATGAAACTCTCCCCCGGTTTTGCAAGCAGTGCAAAATTCTCGGTCATCTTACCTCCAATTGCCCCAAATCAATTCCATTGACTGATCCTAGCAACCGGGCAGCAAAAGTCTCAGCCACAGCTCCTATGGCCAACACAATTAAAGAATCTGTCTTTGACCGCTTGGGTCCCCAAGAAGACCCTCCTGTTGTTGCTAGCCCCGTGGGAAATCTGTCTCTTAATTCTGCTCCTCTCCTTGCCGAACCAGAACAGGTGGCTGAAAGTGGGGCTGTTGATCTTGTCTCTAGTGGTTGGCATATTGTTCAGAACAAACGCCTCAGACGCAAAAATTCTCCTTCCAAGCATCGTGTTCGGTCCTCCACTGTATCCGTAAGTGGGACTATTGATCACGCAAGAATTCATGAATCATCCCACATGCATGCTAATTTGCATGCTCCTGTGCATCCCACTGTTGCCTCAAAGGACAATCGTTTGCCAACTCCTCCAGCGCCAAATTCAATTGTTTTAGCTGGCTCACGGAAAGACAAAGGCAAGGCTGTTGTTGTGTCGGTTGAATCAGGTCTGCCATCAGCTGGGGTTTCTAGTGTGTCCTTACGGAGACGGGGGGCTCAGTCACGCAATGAAGGCGTTTCAGGCAGGGTTGAGGGGTTGCTTCCCACCCCCCTTTCTTGATGATAATTCGTTGTTGGAACGTCAGAGGGTTGAACAGCCCTCTGAAACAACATGAGGTTGTTAACCTCATTCGGAAACATAAATTGGATGTTTGTTGTTTTTTAGAAACAAAATTAGTTTCTTCTAAAGTTTCTTCAATGCATCATTTTCGGCTGAAAAATTGGAAGGTTTTGTCTAATGCTGCAGCAGCGTCTACAGCTAGAATTGTGGTCTTCTGGAACCCAACAACTGTTAATATTGATTTGTTTGGTTTCTCTGCCCAAGGTCTTCATGTTCTTATTTCCAACTTAGTTGATCATTTCAAGTTCTTCGCCTCTTTTGTCTACGGGTTCAATACTATCATTGCCAGGAGAACTTTATGGGATGATCTGCGGAACTGGAGTCCAAACTCCCCTTGGCTCGTTTTAGGGGATTTTAACTCTCTGTTATCTCAGTCTGACAAACACCGTGGGGAACTTGTTTCTTCTTATGAGACTTCTGATTTCCGGCAGTGTTGCTCAGATTTGGGGCTCTCTGATTTAAATTATTCTGGCAGTCACTTCACATGGTCCAACGGCAGTGTTTGGAGCAAGCTAGACCGTGTCCTTGCCAATCCTCTCTGGTCTCTTTCACTTGCATCAGTGCAAGTCCACTTTGACAATCCAGGCGCCTTCTCGGATCACTCTCCGGCTACTATCTCATTCCATCCTAATCAGCCCATGGGAAAGAAATGTTTCAAGTTCTTCAATATGTGGAGTAATCACCCTTCTTTCTTGGATCTAGTAGCAGAGGCTTGGCATCTTGAAACTCACGGGTCTCCAATGTTCACTCTCTGTAAACGTCTCAAGCATCTTAAGAGGCCTCTGAGAGATCTCAACAAGGTTCATTTCAGTCACATTTCGGAGAGAGTTGCGCGGGCTGAAGCTGCACTGGATGACCATCAAAGTCTCCTCTCCTCTGACATGGACAATCCTAATCTGCAAGCCATTGATAAGCAACTTCGTAATAGTCTCCTCCAAATTAAAGAGTGTGAGCGGCAATATTTCTCACAGAAGCTAAAAAGCAAATTTTTGAAAGAATGCGACTCTGGCACTTCCTTCTTCCATTCATTAATGAACCGGCGTCATTGTCAAAACTTTATTCCAGCAATTCAACGAATGGATGGCTCTCTCACGTCCTCTTCTGCTGAGGTGGGGGCTGCTTTTGTGGACTTCTATTGCCATTTGCTTGCCACTCCGAAAGTCACTGCTCCAATTGAAGTGGATGTTATTCAGCAGGGGCCACGTATAGATCCTGTTTCCCATGCTTATCTCCTTGCTCCTGTTACAGATTCTGACATAAAGAATGTTTTATTTGACATTGATGATGGAAAATCTCCTGGCCCTGATGGCTATTCTTCATGCTTTTTCAAAAAAGCTTGGCCTGTAATTCATGAAGATTTCTGCAGTGCTGTTCGAGACTTCTTTCAGTCAGGAGCAATGCTAAAACAAATCAATCATTCTATCATTGCGTTGATTCCAAAATCGGCCAATACCTCATCTCCATCAGACTTTCGTCCAATCTCCTGCTGTAATGTTATTTACAAAGTTATTGCCAAGCTCCTTGCAGCAAGATTGTCTCAAGCTCTTGCGCCTATTATTAGTCCTATGCAGAATGCTTTCCTTGGAGGGCGTTTGATGACGGATAATATTCACCTTCTGCAAGAGCTATTGCGTAATTATGAGCGAAAGCGGACTTCTCCACGCTGCATGATGAAAATTGATTTCAAGAAAGCTTTTGACTCGGTTCAGTGGCCTTTTCTTCGTCAGCTTCTTCTTCTGCTTGGGTTTCCAAGCAGGTTTGTCCATCTTATAATGCAATGTGTTGAGACTGCCTCTTATTCCGTCGCTGTCAATGGTAGCATCTATGGGTTTTTTCAGGGGAAAAATGGAGTTCGGCAAGGGGATCCTCTATCCCCCTACCTTTTTCTGGTTTGCATGGAATATTTCTCAAGAATGCTTCGCATAGCTTCTTTATCTCCTGGCTTTCGTTTTCACCCTAAGTGTCACTCTCTTGGGGTTTGCCATCTCGCATTTGCTGATGATGTGATTCTCCTCTCAAGAGGGGATATGCCTTCGGTGTCTTGCTTGTCTCAGCAATTGGTCTCTTTTGGTGCGATTTCGGGGCTACAAATCAATGTCAGCAAATCTTCCATTTATTTTGGTGGAGTTCCGGACAGCATCAAACATTCTATCCTTGAGGACACTGGTTTTGCTGAAGGTTCTTTTCCCTTCCGTTACCTTGGCGTTCCTTTAAGCCCTCATCGTCTTCTTGCCAGCCAATTCTCCCCCCTTCTCCACAAGCTAGAGTCGGCTATCCATGGCTGGTTGGGGAGAAACCTTAGCTATGCCGGGCGTGCTGAGTTGCTCAAGTCTGTCCTCTACGGCATGGTTCAGTTTTGGCTGAATATCTTTCCTTTTCCTCAACTAGTGATCAAGCGCGTCACCAGTATCTGCCGTAATTTCTTATGGACTGGCAATACTTTGCAGAGCAAATCTGCTCTTGTTAAATGGCGTACGGTTTGTCTCCCCAAGTCTGAAGGAGGGTTGGGCTTCTTTGATTTCAAAGCTCGGAATAATAGTTTCCTTGCCAAGCTCATCTGGAATATCCACCTCAA